ATATATATATATATATATATATATACACACACACACACACGTATGCTTAATAAATTGCGTGCATCGAGCGACTCAGTGTTATTAAAATCGATTTACGAAAACACGAGTATTCGATGAACTCGTGCGAGGGAGGAACAGGGAGAAGAGGAGTATGTGCTAGGAGAGGATTTATTAAACTCTGTATTAAGAGTGACGTGACCGCGACATTCGATCATCACTTTTCTTCGTTTTTTTTTTCTTTATTTATACGCCGGTACGTACATATGTATTCGTATGTGGAATCTCATGATGGGCGGATGAAGAATATAATGTATTTACGTAGAAAGGAATGATTACGTAGGTTATATTTTTTTTGTATGCTTACTATTGGTCTTTATACACGGGTTTGCGAGATGACGTGCGTCTCGGTTCCTGGGATGCCAAGTATTATCTGAGTCAAGAAGATGCGGGTCAAGGTCGAGTACGCGACGGATATTTAATATGCAATTATAATAGGAAGAAAGGTAAACGTCACCTTTCGCGGCGGTCACGGTCTCTTTCTTGTACGTTCATTAGAGTTAATTGAGATCTCAGGCGACTAATATTGCATAATTTAATGTTATTTATGTACAACGCATTGTGAGCAGAGTGTACGCAAGAATCTGTGCTCTTATACGACACTTTTGCGCACCTTTGAGAATCGTATTATACAATTTTTCAAATTGACATTGAAATTGATTTGATCCTGATCGTTGTGCGACCGCCTAAATCTTTTGATATTTGATGCCTGGTTTTAATGATGGAAATATTGTTTTTCTTAATACTTTATGCAAAGTGCGTTATATTATTTTGTGCATTTTTTTTTTTAAGAGAGCTAACGAATCTTGTACACGCTGTTCAGTAGAAATTCAATGCGTTACGTTTAAGCGAGCTAAGCGACGTAAAATTGTGACAATATTTTTCTATCAGTTTTAATACACAGAGTATTACGATTATATTTGGTAATGAGATATCAATACTAATGATAATAATGATAGGAATGACGACAGATGTTATTATAAACATAAATCCTGAACAGGTTTATTAAGTCGGGGCATGTAATTTTGTATTGAACTTTGTAACGTCTGTAGATATTTTGTGTAATGTTTTTTCTATCGATATTTATTAAAAACACAATTTTTATATTAAACCATTTGCCTTGCCATCCGATATTAATTTAAGGAACACAAAACTAAAATACTATACCGATCCTCGTCATTTGGAACTCTGTTTATTCTGTTGAGTATCCACTGTTACTTCATTATGAATCGTGTTTACGCTACTTTACAACGCCGAATATTAATGTACAAGTCGTACGATGCGAACGACTGGAATTCCATGCCGAGTCGTGTTAGCGTTAACATGAATATTTTTTTCGTATTCCGAATCGAATTACGTTTTACAAATTAAATTACCACGATTATAAGACTTACGAATTGTACATTTCACACGCGACCTTGAAAGTCGACACAGTAAAGACACTGACGAGATTCTTGGTCAGTCTAGCAATTTAAATTTATTCAAAAAAATTATTCATTTACAACAGCGACTGTTGTCGTTTAACGTATCAAAAGTCCAACTAAAATATTGCGATTAAATTATATTATAAATTGTTGCTTCAGCATGTCATGCAAATTTAACTATACCAAAGTACTTCCGTTTGAATTATATCGTACACCCTGTGAATCTTGTGACACTGACTAAATTCATTCGGTACCCAAATCTGTCACAGAAAATCAATATTGTAAAATATCCCTCCATCGTGTTAAATATCAATCAGTTGTCCTACGCACGAACTAGTCGGATAATATGATGGATCGATTATAAAAGATTGAAATAATATAAATAATCTTGAAATTCGAGAAACTCGACAGACTAACCTATCAAGCGAGTCGACCGAATGCTTGATTACTGTGAAAATCGATTAATAAGTATTTGACTTGAATGCATATTTGAAAAGGTACGACTAGAGGGCGTTGTAACCGTTTGACATTTTTCTACGTCGGTAACTTATGCTCAGTACGTATTGAACTTAACTAGCAGAGCTACTTTCAGGCCTAATCAATATATCGTTATTTAATGCATGATCAATCGACCCAGTGGATGACATTGCGGATTACGTTCACAAAGATCGGATCAGAATTTTCGGAAAGGAATAAAGGATATCTAATCAAGAATTTGAACTTACCGGCTTAGCAGGCTTTATTCGGCTGCTCCTATTGGTCGGCCATTTTGTGCAAAGGTATATATACATATATACATATATACGTGTATAAATTTGAACGATTTCGTAACGGAACGCAGGAAGTTAGCTATTAAATAGAGACGGTCCCATTCAGCAAATTCATATAGATTTATTGCCTGGAAAGTATCGAAATGTATGTAATATGCGAACTAATGAAATCTCAATGGTTGTTGATAATAAATGAAAGAAATTCATAGTCAGAAACCCCATTACACTTTAATCGTTAGGAAATTAAGACTGTACTCTTACACATTTAAACGTATTCGAAGCGTTCGACGGTAAATAAACTGATCAGAACAGTTAATCAACTCAATAAACCTTTGTCAGTTCGTTAATAAAACAATTTTACATTGTTACGATTATCATTAATATATTTATTATTGTTGTAAAGATAATAAGGCAGATCACTTTAGCAACGAACGACTTTTTTTTCCCCCTTATATATTTTCTCTCATCTCACACACTCTCTCTCTCTCTCTCTCTCTCTCTCTTATTTTGCTTCCCTTATTTTTTTCTTTACTTTTTTTTTTTAGAAATTTGGTACATTTACGAGTAATCAGAAGATCTCATCACCGCTGATTATTACTAGTAGGACATTATCTTTCGTTTATCGAGGAGGCTTATTTTGCTTCCCTTATTTTTTTAAAGATAATAAGGCAGATCACTTTAGCAACGAACGACTTTTTTTTCCCCCTTATATATTTTCTCTCATCTCACACACTCTCTCTCTCTCTCTCTCTCTCTCTCTCTTATTTTGCTTCCCTTATTTTTTTCTTTACTTTTTTTTTTTAGAAATTTGGTACATTTACGAGTAATCAGAAGATCTCATCACCGCTGATTATTACTAGTAGGACATTATCTTTCGTTTATCGAGGAGGTCGTTGATTGTATTATTCTTTTTTTGCACTTCGCTCGAGAGGGGACGAAAAAAAAACAGAAGAAGATAATCGTTCATCTAATAATGAAATTGGATGGTGACCAACACACAGTGACAACCTCTCGGTATATATCGTTACTAAAATTCTTTACTAAATTTATACAATGTGTCTTCTTGTTAATATGCGCTCGCGAGGACGAGCGCCTTAATTCTTTTTTTTTCTTGTGTGCGTGTAGCGGGACAAGCATGTCCCCTGTGTTATTTCCAAGTGTCTTCGTTTCAAATACAATGTGCAATAAGTCGGTGAAATTATTAACCGATCGATCATTCCATCGAGCATCTGCGTGTCGCCCTTTGAGGATCAGACCCACCTTAACCATCTAATATGATAATTATATCGTACCCAATTTTCCAATGCAGGTCGATAAACGCCTGGGAGCTTCTAAGGACACTCTGAGTCATACATATGTGCACATATTCCATACTTATATAACACACAACAAACCTCTTGCACCGTGTTCACTAAAAGATTCGTAGTGAGGCATTTTATCTTCCAAGTAAAAAGGGTGCAATTGGATCTTTCAATCTTTTCAACTTTCTATTTACCTTTGATTACAACTATTCCACTATCCTCATCCCGCACAACTTCTCCACGCGTAATCTCATAACAAAAGAATAATATATATACATATTTGTATATATAAATATATCTATGCGCGTACTGTTCACGTTGCCCAATTGCAACAGCGCTGCCAGCACGTGGTACGACACAGCAAACTAAGGGTGTGTTCTAAAACTCACTGAGAGTATCCATGGAGTAGAATTTTCCATTGCCAATGTTTTCTTGTTAGAGGTGACGAATGGGTTGTCCATTGATTTGTCAGACGTTATCATCTTTGACAAAAAAAAAAAAAAAAATATTGGCAATGGAAAGTTTCGCCTGAGGGTATGTTCGTTTCTCGTTGAATTGCACACAGGTAAATAGAGACACACCGATACTCGTAGTACTTGCAATGAGTTTTAGAATTCATACTAAGGAAATGTAGTAGGAAAGCGAGAAATGAAGCTTAAAGAATAATCATTTAAATATACCGGCCACGACGTGTTTCTCATTACGTGCTAATTGTGTCTGAAATAATAGTGATGCTCTCCTGCCTTGTTTTCTTGCTGCCGTTTGTTTGTTTTTTTTTTCTTTCATTTTTCGTGATGCACATTGCATTAGGAGGTCCCTGTGGGAAGAAAAGAGATAAACTAAGATTTCGAATAACAATGATAAACGTTGGACGTAGAGGAAGAAGTACGGAAAGAAAGAAGCTATTGCAATTAGATTTTATAAAGACCTTGGGGGGGCTGGCGGTGAATAAAATAATTAATATAAATCTTGCACCTGAATTCAATCTTAATCAATACTAATTAATTAATTAAAGCGATACTCAATTTTATCGCTCATTCGCCCAAATCCGATGCGTTACCTTTTTAAAGTAATTAAACATATTTTCGCTTTTGACTTCTCTAAGGTAATATTATCGTAACAGCTGCGATTCCCATTTATTCCTGGAATACATTCCTTAGAAATATTTATAAGGCTCTAAAGCTTTTAGTGATCCGTAAACATTGTTATTTTGAAATTAAAAAATATTCTTTTTTTTTTCCCTTACTCGCATATAGGTCATTGCCAATAGGGAACAGTAATCCCAATCACGTTCAAAGCAATTGCATTCTGTAATATATAACTTAGACGCTACATAGACAAATCTTACCTTGGATTTGGTAAAGTGAAAATTGTAATTTGCTATTTCAATTGTAAATATACACTCTGTCTAATGCAAGAATAAAAGTAACGTAAAAGTATATTAAGTTTCGTACACTTGAATCGAAAACTGTTAGAGCAATCAAGTGCTTGGCTTTAAAATACAATAAAATACATTCTGTGTGGCTAAATCAATATAGGGCACCACCGGTCAGCATGATCCTCGTGAGATCATGGATCTATGGATCGTGATCGCATAAATTGTCAAGCGTAGTTTCATAGTAAACTGCGTCAAGCAATTTGTATTAAGACTTGGGTCTTTTTAGATCCATAGATCCAGTCGTGCTGTGAATCGCAACAGGAGTCTATTGGGATCACAACTGGTGGCCGTGATCTAGTAAAATATGACGTCAACATATAAAAGTCGCTTGCAGCGCGCAGCTTTCTGCAGATGCTAAAAGTCAATCGATTTCATTTGTCTCCTTTCGACCGGAGCTGAGGCCTATTGAAATAGGTACTTGAAATTAATTTTTCAATAAATTTGCCTTAAAAATTAAAATAACACACCCATGGACCTATATGACGACTCTAGTAATGCATGTGTAAGTATAATAGAAAGTCTTTACGACATACTTGTGCTAGTTCAAAATTTTGTCACTAGACATCATGTCAACTAAGTTGTGATTCCAATTGATCGGGTATTACAAATAATATTTTTTTTTTTTTTGGCCTCCGGATCTATAGATCTTGGACCATATCTTCTAAAATTCTCTTAAAAGACACGCATTGCAATATGATTGCGCGCATATATCTTATATTTCTAGATCTATTGATCTATGGCTCATAGATCTATAGAACTCGGATTGCTTTTCTCTCTCTCTCTCTCTCTCTCTCTCTTCCTGTCGCTCGTACTATAATCTCTTTCTCATCCTCATATTTTCGCTCTTTCAAACGCCTTCCATCTCTCTCTCTCTCTCTCTCTCTCTCTCTCTCTCTCTGTTTTACAGAACACTTATATACCCCAGACACATATATTTGTACATAGTTATCATATCCAATGGAAAGTGTATTCTAAACCCAACTGAATCACGTACGATTCACTTACAACATCAAAAATAGACTATTGCAAGAGTGCATTAATTTACGACACACCCTGTACATAATTATTATCCCACCAGGGATAGATAATTATTACCCACGTTATGCACACGTCGCGCGACCCTTTACTCGTTTGCCGTGCTTCGAATCTGTGACGTAAACGATATGTACAAGTTTACCATGATATACCAAAATGTTGGATAACAATATTATCTGCTGCCGTAATTGCCATTGGTGCGTACTGTTATCTCGAGAGTTGCCTCAGAGTCAAATCAAATCAGGGCGTCGGTCCGTCGTCCGAAACAGATTTTCAAATCTTTCGCTTGTCGTCACGAACGACGTCTCCCGGGTCGCATCCTCGAAGCATCCATTAATGGTCGCGCGATACTCTTAGGACGTTCATCATCGAGTTCCGAGTAACAATTACACGTGGAGTCTTTGGAGTTAAAATACGGATGTTCTGTGTCGCGATTTTTTACCCGGTACCCCATGTACATATTATCTACGACGCAGACCTTGTATACATGGAGTGGTATCGAGGGTGGTGTGTCGTCTTACGCTCTACCACGTGGCTTTTTACGAGGTGAAGTATCCTCGCTGGATGCGATACCCGTTGTGGCTGCAACTCGCTTTGGACGTCCTGCCGTGCTACTACTGCCCTCTTGCGTGTTCGCTGTACTGGGCCCTGCGCAAAAGACATTGTTTTTCTTGTTTCCTTTGCATTTCTTTTTTTTTTCGTCTCTCATTAATCCCGCTTACGCACTCTCAATGAAATCCCATAGAGACCCTCTACTCAATTATCATTCGTTTGACGACTTATAAAACGCTTGTTCCTGTAACCCTTTTCTATACTCTCATACAACTTACCACGAAGCTTTGTCCTTTGCACTGTGCCTGACGCATTGTTGCTTTGCTGTTTGTTCGGTTTTTTAGCTTCCACTTTCTTCGTATCCGCATTCTTTTTACTGGTATCCGCTGTTGTGGTGGTTGTGGTGGTTGCGGTGGAAGTGGAAGTGGAAGTGGCGGTGGTCGTGGTTACGATACCAGGGGCTGCACCGGTACCACTGTTATTCTTTGAACCCCGATTTAGCGCCCTTTCCGCTCTATTGGGTCCTTTGGCAACGGACTTGGCAATTGCCAAGACTTTGTTTGCAGATGTTCTTTTCTTAGAACGATTTGACTTTGCTGCAACTTTCTTATCCAATTCCTCTTCGCTTACTTCATCCTCGGACGTGCTCGAGGATCTCTTGGATCTTTTGCGTTGACGTTGTTTCTGCTTGCCAGATCCTTTTCTCCTTTTTAATTGGGATTCGTCCTTGTAGAGGGAAAGATCAACTACGAAAAATAATTTTACTATATGAATTAAATATTAAATCCTGACTAGTGTATAAATTGTAATACTTACGTCCATCAGGATGCTCTTCTGTTACGCGGGGTTTTTCCGACACGCCAGCCTCGACGTCAATTGCGCGTTTTAAAATATTCTCCGTACGCAATAGTTCAATTTTCGTCAGCTGGAACTTGTTCTTGTCAATTTTATTTAAGTTGAGGTTTGTCAGTATGCAATCGAAATCTGAAAAATTGAAAAGTTAGTTAATTAAGATCTGTGACTTTCATTATTACATCGGAAATGAGAAGTCTGTAGTTGAATTAAATTCTACCTGTGAAGTCATAGAAATCAGGCGAATATATTTCTCCATTGTTTTTATCCTGGGATAGCCAACGAATGCGAATACGTCGACTGGACTTGTAAATGTTCTGCATTGCCTGACATACATAGAAACTTCCTTCGGCATTCCTTACCGCCAGAAATTCATTTCTGTAACAGAAAAAAAAATGTATGAGACGACGCAGGATGATTATACTACTGACAGCAATACTTCTTCTTAATATTACATAATTTTAGATACTTCAAGTTTACACAAGTGATAACATGTACTTGAACTGCAGGATGTAAACATAATAGATATTAAATTAAAAGCTGAGTAATACGTACTTGTAGAACACAATGAGTTTATCGTCTGAATTCTTTGAGCTGGGCGTTTTATTCAAAGTTTTTACGATCAATGCGATTTCTGGCAAAGGACTTTGATAAGGCTGCGTTTGAATTCGGTTCCTCTTGGGTTTACTGCCACCCTCCCCGCCGCCCGCTTGTCCTTTTAAATCCTTTAGTTCTCTAGACTTTCGTTTATTGGTTCTTTGCGGACTAGTGACCTTTGAGTCGGACTTCGTAGGAGTCGTAAGCGATGCCGGAATTGGAGACTCGGCCGCCGATTTTGAACTCTGATTTGAAGATTTTGTCTTTGGAGACGATTCCACGTTTGTCTTTGTTTCACCAGATTGCGATGTTGTTGTTGTTGCTGGCGAAGAAGGTGTGGCTGTTATTGTTGCGCGTGTTGAGGTCGGCGAAGTTGTTACGGTTGGTGCTGTTACAAGTGGAGGTTTTGGTGCTGGAATTGAAGCAGGTGTTGGCTTTGCTGACGGTGCAGATTGCCCCGTAGAAGTTGATCCTGACCCGGTTGTTGATGTTGGGACCGACACAGGTGTTGTTTCTGGAGTTGTTTCAGTAGTTGGTGCCGCAACTGGGGTTGATGACTGTGCCGACGTTACTGCTGGTGCGGGCACAGTGATCGATACCGGAGCCGATACTGGCGGTGATGCCGACGTTGACGTTGACGACGATGCTGATGCCGAGGCCGTTGTTGATGTTGATGTTGATGTTGATGTTGGTGATGATGTTGGTTCTGATGGTGGTTCTGATGGTGGTGCTGCTGTTGATATCGGCGCTGTTGTTGATGCCGGAGCAGCTGATGTTGTCGACGTTGGTGTTATCGACGATGAAGACGCCGGCGTTGAAACTGGTGTTGAAGTCGATTGCTTTGACTGGTGGGGAACTGTGGTAATTTCAGATTCTTTGGAACCGTTATTTATGGGCACCTTTTTTTCGTCGCCCTTATTCTGCGAGTTTGTACATAAACCTGTACAATTAAAAAGGGTTAAATTTCTTTATATTTTATTGGACTGTTATTTTGCCGTTATCTTAATTTGAAAGTATAAAGAAGATATATATAAGAATATAAAAAGTTAATTGTAATTATTTCAATTTTTACCTGGGAACTCCAAGGAAAGAACTGGCAATTCTGGTTCTGGTTCTGTTTGAGGTTGCTGGTCTTGTGTTGAGTTTTCAGGGCTTTGATTATTATTACGATTGGATTCGCTTTCCTTTGCAGAAACTGGTGCTTCTTCACCATCAACTTTTCTTGCTTCGATGCCATTCTGAGTAAGTTTATCTGATTCAGATTCTTTCTCAGAGTTGTTACTGACATAAGACTGAGTCTGGTACACAGATTGCCTATGGTCCTGTACTAAACTCAATGGTTGACTCGGTGGCTGTAGAGTAACATAGCTTAAACCACTTCCCGATAATGGTTTCATGGCACCTGATTCAGATCCTGGGGCCACTTTTTGTGCCATCATATTCATTGGTAACATAGAATGGCCCGTAGAAGACGGGGATGTACCCACACCAGGCATGGACGACTTTACAGCTGGTGCGCTCATACCCCCCAGCCACTTGCTAGGCACTTACTCCGACACTAAAAATCACAAAAGTATTTACTGAGCTTTGTAATCACAATAATAATCTTTACAGAATTTTTAGCTACTCATGTTAAAAAAAGACAGAATAATTCACAAAATACACCGCACTACAATTACACTAGAAACCATAAGAATTACCTTCGCAAATAATTTTTATAATATCGAAAGCCTTAGAAACACAAGTGCACATAAAGCCCTGGTTTCATTGAGATTTCACAATATAAAAATAAATATATAATCAGATATTTATAATTACTGAATACAACATAGCAATATTGCTCCAGCATGCACAGCAATGTAGTACGATAGTTGGAAGTAAACTGACAATGAGCTGTATAGGGTGTAACAGCAAGCGCGGGTCAGCACTGGTAGGGTAAGGAAGCGGGAGGTCGAGGGGTCAACAATTACAGGAGTAAACATAAACACGAATTGAGTTTTGGAGCCGAAAGTTATTTAAACGTGAGAAAAACTAATGAATGAGTCGATTTCCCGGTCTGGGATATCGTAAAGAGGTCTTACCTGGGCGAAAAAGGGACGGCGATCAACGCGTCGAGTATTCTGGTTCAGATCGGAGGTTGTCCCGCTGCGTGCACGCACACGGTTAACTCATCGTTCCTACGCACTTTTCCCGCGTTCCCTGGACACTTTTCTGCAGCTACCACGTAGAGGAGTGTGGTCTAAGCATTTCGAAGTATACAAATATCTCGAGCTTGGACGCGAAATAACGCAAACAAAATTCCGAAACTTTGTACGCGCTACGACAAGCCGTGGTTTTACCGCACAGGAAAAAAACAGGAATGCCAGACGTTAGATGGCGTCGGTTCACGGACGCCATTTGTAACACGACTTGATTTTATAGACTGCTACGATTGGTGACGTCATGACGCTTACCTACAAACGGAAAACTTGGAATTCGACGGCTGAACTTTTAAACGATGAAAAATTATAAAAATTACAATATTCTTTACTATATTCCCTTTAGTATCAAGCCTGAAGTGAATATACTACATGTATGTAATGAACCATCTACTTGTATGCAAGGCGACTGTACGTCGTTAAAATATTGTAAAACTTTCCAAGACCAATTTATCGGTTAAATATAACTTTTCGTCTCAACGTCAGATAACGGAGGGATTATCAGTGTGCCGAAGTCGCGTTAATCAAAGCCTCTGTATTTGCAGAATATTCGACGCAAGGCGAGTTCACATTGGCCATGACAATTCTGAATACGCTCGCGATAAACATGTACCTACAACGTATAGCAACTGGCGGTTTTACGCATCCAAAAATGATGTCATTGGATTTTCTGTGCCGTGATTCGCTAACGGTTATTGGCGCGATGTTCATAATACAATAAAATTCTTAAATACAAATAACATATCGTAGTTGATTTTAATAGATGTTCTACAATTTCAGAAAGTTTTGGCCAGTACTAAAAAGTGTTCAAAATAAGCTTTGCTATAATACTTATCGTTTGCAACGTTTTAAAAGTATTATTGAATCTATATTTTTTGTGATGTCACTCCATCTGCGCAGTAGAACAAAATTATGTCCCTACTGAGCATATCTGATGTACGTATATATAGATGCCAATACGAGTCGCCCATTGTGAATAAGCCATAGTGGTGCTAGCATCAGGTGAATCTTGTTGTTCATTTTGACGTTTAATAAAATCTCAACAAGACTGTATTTTCTTACAAGTATAAAAAGTATCTTCATTAAGTGGAACAAAGTTTGGTATTAAAAATTCGTCTACTACTGGGACTATATTTAATGCAGTATTTTCCATTGCGTGCATACCTAACCTTACTAGGAAGGATGAGTAATTGACAGAATATTTAAATCATAAGACATTGAATTCTGTATAAAAATATAACCGTACAGTGTATAAAACGTTGTATACCCAGTATAAAGATTCATAAAGAACGAGGTTAGAATCCAAGTAGGTAAATAATGAACATCCCGCCGATTCAGCAACCGGGTACAATGGGAATGGGACAGATGGCGCAGCCAGCGAATCCCCAGATGCCTCAAGCCCAACAGCAGGCTCAGCAGCAGGCCCAACAGCAAGCTCAGCAGCAGCAGGCTCAACAGCAGCAACAGCAACAGCAGCAGCAGCAAGCACAGCAGCAGCAGCAGCAACAAGCCCAAGAAAAACTGGACAATATATCTAAAGTAAAGTCCTTAGTGGGTCCACTGCGTGAGTCCCTGGCAATAGCATTGAAGACAGCAGCACAAACTTTACATCAGAATAGTGCAGTGGACATTGGTACACTGAAAGGCGTTGATCCGCCTGATCATCGCTTCAATAAGAACATGGAGGAATTTTATTCGATATGCGATCAGATTGAACTTCATCTCAAAACGTCTATAGAGTGTCTCTCTCAGAATTCCAGTTCCTTAAGATATCTGCCAATGTCTGTCATACCAACGAGGACTGACACGGTCGCCAGTCAGGAAGGTCCTGCTTTGACCTACCCGCAATTTCTGATGACTGTGCGCGCGCAAGTAGCTTATGCCCGCGAGATTCACGACACTCTTGTATCCGCGGCACATACGATTGCACCGGGTGAATAATTGGTGTGAACAAATTAATTATAAACCACAAAGAACAAACGATTATTGTATTCGCTACGATTAACTTATCCGGTCCGTGTGGTTAACCATAAATTATTGCTGGTTACCAATGTATGCTTATAGACTATATCTGATAATTGTTATGTCCAGAGAAAGTTAGGTTATTCGTATTTCTTTTTGTATATAAAATCATGCTAGAAGTTTAACCATGTTCCTATCAATTTAAAAATTTAAAAATTACAAAATTAGTCCCAAGTCTTTACAGCATGGATGTATACTGTTCTCTTGTATCTGTCAAAAGATCCATATCTTGAAGTAATATTTTTAGAATTAATTATATAAAATAAGTTATTAACACGTCCTTTGGTATAATAACTTCGTAAAGCTTCCTGGAATAAACGTCAGTCTGATTTCCGCTGCGTATATGATCGACGGAATGAATCACTTTGGAGTTTCTTGCTAGCGAGGTGTGCGAACTTAGAATGCAAGATAAGAATACTCGACTAAGCATATGTTTAATATGTGTGACAACATAATAAATACTTGTACCAGGAATATATGTATGTCATATTACTTCCTTTGGTGAGATGCCTCTTGTTTCTCTACTTACGTCTGGAAGATTTCGTTTGACACAATTAATTTTTAGCGTTCTACATAATATATGTATATTGTATAAAAAAAGTCTATATCGCGCACATATACATTTGCCAGACTTTTGTTGTTTTCATATTTAGAAAATATTACGTCACGTAAATAGAGAATTGCAAATTGCATAATATTCGTCAAAATGGCAAATCTATTCCAAAGCGTTAAACGATTGCGAAGTATTGCTTTCAATCGACGAAACGAAAACCATCACGTGCTAGCCGACGGAAGCCGCGTAACTGTTTTTAATGGACACCCGTTAAATATGCCTCGTTGAAAATAATTCCTGGATATCTTTTTTCGTTACGTAGCCGTCACTATAAAAAAAAATTGAGTGGCACCCGCTAAATTATTTATGCACAATATTTTTACCGACAGTACACGCTCGAAGCATTATGAATAAAATAAAATGAAAATTATAATCTACAGATAAAACAATTAATAAGAATAAGGATTGCTCATTGTCTTATTATACGAAGTTGCCCTCTCCCCTCCCTTCGTTTAATTAAATTTCACGCACAGGCAATGTATGCTAATCAAACCGATTAATCTTTAATTTTTTTTTCTTTTTTTTTACAACGCGTGTTTTATCCACGATATTATACTAAAATTTTATATAATTTTGAAATTTTGTAGGAATTATCAGAGGAATATATTTAACATGAAAAATATCTATGACGGTACCATTTAAGTATACTCGCATACAGGCATTCGTGTATTTGGTGCAATAATGTAACCGGGTGACTTTACGAAAGACATAACTCCCCTTACGATTCTCATATTTCTATTAATAAGACATAGTTAAACCAAAAGACACCGAACGCGGAGGAGACTTTCGAGATTTCATGCCATGAGTCCGAAAGTTCTTTGAACTCCTCGTCGACGTGTTTCGTCTCGAGGCAAAGTGCTGTGGAAAAAAAGAGATACAGTAAACGAAAGAAAGAAAAGACAGAGAGAGCGAGAGAGCGAGAGAAAGAGTGAAAAAAAAACCAGAATACAAGCACGTTTCAAAGTTGTCCACTAGTAGGGAAAAATAAAAAGAACTAACGAAAAGCATTCTTTGGCGCGTTATCACGAAAACGTAAAGCCTGTATTATCCGGCATGGTCGTAGTTCGGGTTCACGTGATTTCGCCGGTTCCGTCAAAATCTTAGTGGTGGTATTTATAATCTGTAGCAAATAGCAGTGCCGAGAAATTTTCGGGAGCCAGTGTCGTATCAATCGCATGTAGAAACCCTGAGCGACGAAGGGAGAGGCGGGTAGGAAACGCTACTGTCAGTTGGATTGGTGTTTTGCCGCGGCGCGCCGTGCGACCATTCGAAAAGGAAGGACCACCTCTGTTCACCATATTTGGCGAACTTTCCCTAATATGGTAACGTCTACTTCTAAATATGGCAGCCGGGGACGCCCTCTCTCCGCGCGATGTAACACTCCGCGTGTTGAAAGAAGACGATATTCTAGGTTACGAATGAATCGCCTAAAAAATAAGAGCGAGCCAATTGAAAGTGGATGTTCTTAGGAATTTTTTGATTATGGTAACAACAATTAATTCCATGGAATAATAGGTGTTCCCGAAAGGGTGGATTACTTTTTAGAGGCGCACTGGAGTCGTGGTGGGGGTAAAGTGAGCGTTGCGCGCCGCGGAGGCACCGCGTTTGCACGTAGGTCAAGTTACGATGCTCGGCGCGCATTCAGGTCGCGGGTAGCGCTCGTACCGTGCGCATCGTTGTCCCGTGGTGCTCTAGATGATCGATCACGTGGGAAGATCGGCGTCAAGTTCTCGCGATAACGGGGTGAGAAAGGGCCGACAGGCAGGGAATAAATGTGCGCGCGTCCGTGATGGACAACCCTAGCGGCGGAAGGGACAGTCGTTATTCGACGAGCCTGGGCTACAGCATGGGAATGATGGGCAGCGACGCTGGGTCGGAATTGTACGGCCGGCCGTCCACCTCTCAGCTCGCAGGTTCGCAAATCGGCCGTGGCGGCGCCACTATGATGACGGCTGCTGCGACACCCGGCGTCGCAGTTCAGCGCGGCATGAAACGCTCGTCCTCGGACGTCTGCTTCGACGACGGGAATGCCCGGCAGACAGGCATGACGCAGCCACAGGGCATGCCAGGCATGCCTGGCGATTGTGTCACTGAAAATCTAGACGAGTCCTTCACGAATCTTGGACAGCCCAAGAAATCACCGCCTTCAAATGGCAAGAAAACTAAAGGGAGAGTTAAGATCAAGATGGAGTACATCGATAACAAGCTTAGGCGATATACTACCTTTTCCAAGAGGAAGACTGGCATTATGAAGAAGGTTAGTATCGGAGAGGATGAAGGCTCTTGATGATATCCTGTGCCACCAGTTTACGTGTTTTGTTGAGAGTGTCAGTGTTCATTTTAGTGTTGTCGAACGTGCGATATAGGAGGTTGTATAGGCCAGTGTAGTGTCCGCTGTGACGGATATAAAACATGCATGACGTATCAATGATAACGTGGAATTACGAGTGATGAGCTACGTTGGATTCTCTGCTATGGGCTTTATTGTTCTTACCGTAACTCTGATACTCGTATCTCTTGAGTTTTCCAAGCCTGTTGTTCCTAATCTACTACTTCTCTCTAACTCCATCCTAACCTGGTTCTGGTTTACAACTTCGTAGGATCACGTCGGTGATAGACTCTACGCACATGCTTTCTGTCAACGACTAAAGTTTACCAGTTTCATGTGAGAATTGATATGTTTGTAACTAATCTTAGAAGCAAAATAAATCTTGGAATAATATTTCATCGTGCTGTGAATATAACCTAACCTAACCAAACCACGATCTAAGCATAATTCACTTTAAGGGTATTTTTATTGTAATTTAATCCATAAACTAATCTTGAATGGCAGAAATTATTCGCTAAACACTGTATAATAACGCACCTAAACGATATCGTATTTAATTCTATAATTATAATGAAAAACATTCGAATTTTGTGTATCTGTACGAATGTAAACAATCACCTACATGATATATATACATGTATACATGATATAATCAATAATTTTATTTGCAGTCAATTTAACGTTAAAGAGATTCACATAATTCAACGATTCCTTTTCGCTCTAACAAAAATTAATTTGTCATACCCAACGTCGAATATTACGTATGACAATGCAGAATAAAGTTGTTAATACTTTCTAAGAGAGGTTAGGGCACCATAATCATTGTATAAATTATAGATTAAGTAAGTATGCGCATGAGATAGAATTCGAAATTGTAAAAAGCATGTATATTTATTTAGTATCGTTGACAAATGGAGCTATTATTTATTTACTGGTCAGAGTTATGCTCCGTTCGCGTGCTCCAAAATAAAAAATTAATCTATAAATTGCACTATGATACTTGAGCCAGTCCAGTATATCAGGATAGATAAAAAGATCAATACAAGAAAGAAATTCTTTGTCTTCCAGGCGTACGAGTTGTCGACACTAACAGGCACGCAAGTGATGTTACTAGTAGCAAGCGAGACTGGCCATGTGTACACCTTTGCGACGCGCAAGCTCCAACCAATGATAACCAGTGAGGCCGGCAAGGCGTTGATTCAGACCTGCCTGAACAGTCCTGACCCACCGCCATCGGGTTCCTCGGGAGATCAGCGCATGTCAGCGACAGGCTTCGAGGAGACCGAGCTCACGTACAACATCGCCGACGACGAGCAGAAAGTAAGGCAACTGGTGTATGGCTCGCCGCACGGGGGCGCTCTGCACGGTGGTTACCCGGGCACCGGGGCGCCATCTGGTGCGCAGCACGCGCCACCCCCGCACGCGCAGCATGCACAACATGCGCATCTGATAGCACATGCGCATGCGGGCTCGCCTAGCTCGCACCTCGTGCCGTGCTCGAGCCCTGGGCCAATGCTGGCCGCTGGACCGTATCAACAGTCATGTCCTTCGCCACTGCCACCACCCCACGCAACTTATCATCCACACATGTCACACTCGCACCCCCAACGGTAGTAAATGGTACCTACTACTCGCGATGATGTCAAACCGGTCGGTCGACCACCCGACTGTTACCCGGGCAGTTCAACGCGCGTGGATAACAAGCTCGTCGTCAGGAATTTACCTATCGCGGGTTAACGCTGAACGCTCGTTCACTGGTACATGCGAAAGGAAAGTCTCGCGTATCGGCCTACGTGGCTACGAGGAAGTCAGAGTTTTTGCACTTTAGCCGCTCCGAGGTAACGCGATCTGCAGTTCTCACGTAGTGCGCGAAATCGAAGGGCCGCCGCGATAACCGATCTGGGACCGTATAAGGGGTTGCTTCGGTTTTTACAGTGACTTTCACTCGGTACCTCTAATAATTTCTTTCTTAGGTCCTTAGTGTTATATGTCAGTTAGTCCAAAGAGACCTCTCAGCTGCGGGGTTACGCAGGATATTTAAGCGACGGTATTCTTCGTGCTGAACGATTCGCGAGTTGTGCTAGTTCGTTTTTCTTTTTTTTTTTTAATTTTTTTTTTTTCTTACGTGCGACACGAATCCAAAAGGGCGTAAGGTAGAAGAGGCTGATTGTGAGTGTGTGAGAGAGAGAGAAGGATCATGGTTGAAAGTTAGAGAACAATTGAGGGTGTGAATGTGAGAATATTTAGGAGAGAAAGTTTATAACATTTACATTAGAATAGGGTAGTAACTCATGTGATGATTTACTTGTACAGTCGAACACTTTGTTATTTTGACTTAATTTATAGCTTATTTATTAAAAAAAAAAAAAAAAAAAAAAAAAAAAAAAAAAATTTAACTTTATTCCCATCTCGTCGGTATAAGAATAAATCGCGAGGATGCTTTATTATGAAATCGGAAATTGGCGTCGATCTTCGGGCGAAGAGCGAGCGTTTCCAGAGTCGTAAGATAAATGTATACAGAGATGTGGTCCATACCATTATGTAACAGAAGATCGGTCTAGGTGCAAAAGTGACTTAGCATTCAATTATTCGCGTGTGACGCGATAACGAGTCTTTTGATAATTTACGCGCTACTAATTCGTATAGTCGAACCGACGACAAAAGAAAGAACACGACTGCGGAACGATCGTTTAGTTATTTAATTCAATTAATAGGAATTTAAATCGCGCACGTATTGCGTCACCGTACGCGTTCTTATCGACATAGGTATATTATTATTATTTTTGTATCCCCCTGACACTTCAATCAAATTTATATGTTTAGGCAGATAATCTCACGCGACCGTATTCAGGCTCGATAGGGATTCTCAGCCAGCTAAGAGCAGCAGAATTAAAAAAGAAAATAGTATTTCTTAAGATTAATGGCAGGGAAGGACAACGATAATTTCCCAAAAAAAAAAAGAGAGGACACAAAATACATGGAAAAAAAAACAAAAAAGAAATCGAAAAGGTCACGAGTCCAAGCCAGTAGGGCCCAGTGGTGCACGCTTCGTATTGTTACACAGTATTGTTGTGCATCGTTTTGTCGTACATTCTTGTTGCATTGTACCGTCTTGTGTTGGAGTGGCATGTGTAGTTTTTGTTTGTTTGTAGCTTAAGTAGCTAGTACTTAAAAAAAAAAGAAATCCGTAATTTTATTTCCAAAATGTCCCACCCACCCTCTTCTCGTCACGTCCACGTCACACCGACCACTTCATCTTATCGTCGTCATCGTCATCGTCGCTCCCCGTGACGTCACTTAACGAAACGATAATTTTTTTTGTCTCTTTAATTCACGCGATACGCCCTATCGTAATTACAGTACAGGCCAGAATTTTATCCCGTTATAAATACCGTGACTCATTTATATCTATAATCCTGTATCCTGTCGTATGATTTTTTCGTATTTATCCTCCCTCCCCCCCTACCCCACCCTCCCCTCCCAGTCAATTCCCTAAAAAAATGCTGCATGCGTATGTTCGTTTTTTTGTCCATTTGTATGATTTGACAAAGCGAAAAGGAAATGCTCTGCTACCACAGGCAAGGAAAAGAAAAAGAAAAAGATATATATATATATATATATATAAAAAAAGTCAAACGAAAATATATACAGACACACATGTTTCCCTGTCGACACGCAGAGAGTACAAATAATAACGATATTAATCGTATATGATAATTGTAAGAAGCGGTCAACGCCTGGTATGTATCACACGTGTACATATGTACTGTAAAATACTGTGATAATATTTATATTGCGTTTATATACCTTCTTTAACAATACAACCGTACGATCGTTACTATTATGAGATTTGATTTTGGTATAGCTATATATATATATATATACGTATATGTGCATATATAGTATACTAGCTGAATTCAGGTAGGTGAAATCGTTAGTCGTAAAAGACAGTGATTACGAAGGAGAAAGAATTTTAACGTTTATCTTAAGCGTTCGTATAATCATCCGTTTGAATTTCCCGGCAATTTTAACGGTCTCGTGTCTGACGCTTCTCGGGAGTTATTCATTGTCATAGATTAAGTAGACGTATGCGCCATCTTTGTATCCGCACGATCGTATGTCAGAGCCAAGATGACAATTGTTATTGTCTCTCGTTGCGGTTCCAACGCACGTGGTTAACGGTCGAGGAGTGAGTTCGAAGTTTGAAAAAAGAAATATATTTAATTTGAACGCTCTTGCGCGTCCGGACGTGAGAGCGACGCAGCGTGCACGCTGCCCGAAGGTAGAGGCCTTAACGAGACGACGCGATTTTAAAAGGTCGAAAAATCTTTTCTTCCATTCTTTCATCTCTCTCCCAGCACGCGCAGTGGGTATTCGGTGCGGAAGAGCGAAAGGTAGGTATACGTACAGTAGGTGCAATGCGCCACGACGTCCCGACGGCTTGTTGTCCTCGATAGTCGGGGAGGGTGTTGCGCTATTTTCAGGAACGTTGATCTTTAATTGGAGCCGAGAACAATTATCGATGGGGCAATTGAACGAATAGCTCTCTGTAAAACGGTGCCACAGTCGATCAGCCCGTTCGCGGAATTCAACGGACTCGAAAGTCCCGCGCATTGCCTCTCGAATTGTCGTTCGCTTTACGTTGAGCGTGTAGGGACGTTAAACGTTTAAAAAAGGCTGTACAAGCGAAGGAGTCGAAAGTGTAAGCGGTTGTAGGACTCGCTGTGAAAAATACAAGAGATTATTGTTACTGAAAGAAATGTTCATTTGTCATGATTAAGAGAAAAAATCGTAACTCGGTAGTTGCCAAGTTTTTCAATTGAGATTTGTGCAAGCACGCAACGAAGAATAAGAATGAGAGAAAAAAAGCAGGTAAAAGATTTTATGGTTATTTATTTATTTATTTATTTATTTTTTTAATGAAATTCATCATGTCTCGTACACGTGCGTCAGTTGCGTAGGTTATTTTTTGTTGCTTCGCCGTCCGCCTCGACTCTTGACCGTCGTGTTTTTTCTCGTTGACGATAGGTGTCGTTAGCTGTACCGGAAATCCGCAAGCTCCTCGATTCCCCTCGTTTCTCTCGGTACCGCTGGGAAGCTACGAGCAAAAGAAAGATGGCAGGGGTCGAAGCACGATTTACGACTGAACAAGGCGATCGCAACGCGAAGGCAAAAGCTAAGCGACTCGCGAGCACCCAGGTGCGCACACGCACCCATGGAAGGTGGAAGCAGAACTCCATATACGGTCACCTTTGTCAAAGCCTGGTTGTCGCCATATACAGGCAATGTTCGCGATGCCAGACACTTATATAGAGTCCGACTTAAGAGTCAGGAATGCCGCTTTTTATCGCGCCTTCTACCCGCCTGCAGTAACGGGGTGATACGTGACGCGGAAACGTTGAATCTCATATTTTCGACAAAAGCGACCGTTATGAATTTTTTTTTATTAAAGAGAAGAGAGAAAAAAGGCAATTCGACAAATCTCAAGAGGACGTTACCAATGGCACCACGTTCAAGGAAATAAATACGTTCCGTGAATTTAGTTAAGGGTAAGGTCCCTTGTTACAGGGGAGAAAGTAACGTAAGGCAAATACAGCCGTGTTTTTCGTTGCACGGTAACGTTCAAAATTCAGTTTTACTTTAATTCCTTCTCAGAAGATACATTAAACGTTGTATCGAATCGTACCGTGAAGATTCATCTCGGTGTGACGTGATTGCTGATATAAAATAGCACGTAAAATTATTTTTTATATTTCTCAGAATTGGTCATTTACCGGGTGATACGATTATACGTATGCGAAACTGGTCTAGGGATAAGCTAGCTTTACTTTTTTTTTCCTGTACTCCCACCCGAGATTGCTCGAGATACATTTGGTGGTTCCACTTGAATCGACTAGTTTTCGTGACACCGCGAGACTTGCTAAAGCGCACGAGATCGTCAACGACGCAATCCGAAAACGTACGCGAACTTTTCACGGCGAAAAGAGATTTTCGTGTTTGATACAGTCTGGATTAGTTTGAATATACTTTTTTTTGGTGCCTCGTAAAAATTTGGATCGATTCGCGAAATAGGTTAGAGACGAGTGGTCGTGGATAAAAAAAATTTCTGACACACGAACGATGTCGAAAATTTATATAGGCCTCACGCTATGCTTATTGAACCTGTCATACGAAATCACGTCAAAGTGCTTACGGACGTTGGTGACGTTGAATGGATCGGGAAGATGGGATAACGGTGAACGAATAAAATTCGTGAGGAAATTCAAGAGAATCATTTCTGGAAGTACACTCGCGAGTTCACTCGAGCGGATGACCGTATAAGGAGCGAGCAAGCATGCATCTCTCCCCGCTACGTTTACACACATACGCACGGATCGTGGAACTCATTTAAGCGATCAGTTCATCGATTTCAGTTACGAAATACCTTAAACGATATCACTCGTTATGGATGCCATTTGTATCAGCAGGAAAGAGTTCGGGAAAGAAGCACGAAACGAGCAAAGCTTCGACGCGGTCGAGTCAGGGAAGACAAAATGGCAATGGATTCACGAGAGTACTTTGTTGTATACGAATTGAAGAAAAAAAAAAGGTCGGGAACGGTCGGATAGGTTCGTGAAATTTATACCTGCTACGGGCGGTGGGGTGAGGGGAAGGTTCGGGGTATACGAATATTCAATCTACGCGACAGACGGAACACGAGGAATCGAACCGGCGCGCGTTCGTAAATTCATTTTTTTTTAACTCTTGAAATTCTACTTGCCTCTAGCTTAATCGTATGGCTGCAAAAGTACTTTCGCCTGGCGGTAACCCGTAATTGTGGCTGCGAACCCTTTTCACGGCACGTCGTAACTCTCGCCGTGTCTCCCTGGCACCGTTCACTTTCGACTTTGAAAAACTTCATTCGTAACAGGTGGAATCTCGCGCGTGTTTCAGGAGGACGGGACGTCGCCGAGGTCGGACATCTGCGGTAACGAGAGCGAAGGGGACACCAGCGACGGGGAGTCCCCGGTTTCAAAGGACGCCACGAAAAATCATGCAGGTAAAACCAATCATCTCGACTTTGTGAAATTACAATAATTTTATGTATATATGTATATACTTTGCAATTACCCTGCTACTGGCATCTGCACAGTGTGTCTCGGCTATAGATCTGCGATCTACGACGCTATCACGTTTATCCCATTATCCTTATTCGTATGAGAGTCACGATGTTATTTGCGCGGGAAAAACAAACGGCTAATCAATAAAATCGTGACGGTTAACTGCTACCGTTAATTATATCAAATCGTTCCTACGACGATGTAACGGGTGTGTCTATTATATTTTTATCGAGAAAATCCATTAATCATCCTGTAAGATTTTTCATTGAATTTCATTGTCTTGAATCGAACTACGGTGAATGTCTCGCTAGGATTCATGTCAACTGCCACGAGTCTCTTGACGACTTGGTAACGTCGCATAAAAGCATCATGGAAAATCGTTAGAGTACCGGGAGGCACTTGTAATGCGAAAAGCGTGCGAGCGATGACGGGGTTGTCCGTGTAGGGGAGTCGGTAAGGAGTCGTACGGTTCGCGATGACCAAACTGAGACGACAACGCGCTGCCTAACTGGGAAGTAGGATCCGGTCGAAAGCCGGGCTCGATGCAGGTGTACACATAAATATCGATGCTAATGTACCCAGTGGATCCAATCGGATTCGATCTCGGGATGAAAATTCTACCGGTCTTTTAGCTCATTTCGAGAAGTCTCGAGAGACGTCTGCTGCGACGTTCCTTGTATTAAATGATTGATATGAATGTTTAACCTGGATAAATGCCACTGAATTATTTTATACTATCTCATTATGACTTATATATATATATATATATATATATATATATATTTGTATACTATACCAAAGACTCTTTGTTCTTTTCTTGTTCTCAGCTAGCATGCCTTCCTTTCCTACTGGCATGATGTACCAAATGCCACAGAGCGTAGTATACTCGCCAAGTCCTGGTGTTTTACTCAGCATCGGACAAAATGGACAACCCGTACAAATATCCCAAGATGGTGAGTATTGTCTTCGCGTTAACTTATAACACAAGCATCACGAGTCGCTTGTAATTTACGTTACGATTATTATAGGTCTGACGTCTAATTTTATAGTTATACTTAAACACGGTTTGAAATAGTAACTCGTATAGGCGAATATGGCTGTTACGTATAACATTGATGGTATGAAAGTTTGGAAAATTTTATCTTCGTAAAAAAAAATTCTCCTTACTCCGAGCTGGAACGAAACGTTATCAGTCTCGAATTTCCTTAGTTTCGCGATAACGTAACTTATGTCAGTTCCGGGAATTTTTTTTCCCAACCACAATTACCCATGACCGCCAAATTCGTAAACGGGAAAACCCACGTGCATCGCACTAGCTGGTACAAGAACTTCGACGCTATGAAAATGCAGACCTTAACGTGATTTTAGACATTAAATCTCAAGGATGAGGATCTTTTTATCGATAAAAAAAAGAATATTCGAACGTGCGAAAATGAGTTATTGGATATTTCTAGAGTCCCGTGTATACGGGTGATTATACCTTATGCATATATCCACGTTACATTGCTGCCACGAGGAAACCATAAATTAGAAACACTGTCCCCTTCGCTCTTCTGTCCTCCGATCCACGCTTTAGACGTGTAACGCCATTGGTGTGTCGACAATTTTCCACTCAAAATTTATGCGCACTCGACATGAGGAAATTCACGCCATAACCTCCTTGTGTTATTCGAGCCGAGTTATTCGTCGCGCATCCCTACCAGCGTTCTACGTCATAGACGTGGTAGGAAGGGACGTGAGTCTAGACTCGAGCTCCTACGTCTAGAGGTCAAATAAGCTTAGTGACAAAGCGAGCGATAGTTTTTAAGTGTTTTCCATGGCTCCACAACAGCCCCGAGGCTACGCGTTGTAGGTTGACTGGGCTAAAGCTCGGGCCAGACGTCGGCCGTCGGTAGACAACTTGAATCGCTACTGTAACAAATATATTCAATTGAATTAATGCTCTTTAATTATATACACTGTTGGAATATATTTTCTCGGTATAAGGTAATACCGTGAAATTTTTTTTGTAACACCTCATTACTAATTAAAAAGTACTGCATCGCGATTTAACATGGCACTACATTATTTCCATGTAAGCGTATCGAGTCAGTGCCATAAACGCGGCGATACTTTCGTAATTTGTGTAAATATCTCGTAGAAAATGGTGTCTATATATACCGGGAGCATGGACTATCCCTCATCATGGAAAGGTCATATATTTACCAGACACAGCTTGCTACTGTGACGGTAGATGAAAAATTTATCCATAAAACTTTTTCTCCCTTCCCATATTCACGTGTCAATGTTATTATCGATATATATGCAAAAGCTCGCGATTCTTGAGCAACGTAATTATTTCAATTCCAACTTCAATTGAGTGCCGCTAATTAAACGAGTATCTCGCCATATCAACTTGAGTTTCCATAGCACTGTCACGGTATATGGTAATTCTCTTGTAATTCATATATGTATAAATGCATAGCGTAAACGTTCCGTCGCAATACGATGTATACAAGTCGGGTGCACGTGCGCTGAGAATAATGCCGTGCATTTTCTCGCACGAGAATAAAGGTCATCGCTCAAGCGAGAATCGTTAATACTACGTAGAAAATATATACGAGGGGAATGAGAAGAGGGAAAACATTTTTTTATTCATTCTTTTATAGGCGCGTCGTCAGGAAATTCCGGCCAGGGAAATCAGCCGTTCATCACGATACCTCTGAACGTAGCAATGAGCGCGGCTGGCTTGTCGTTGCCGTCGGTCACGTCGAAATCGTTGTCGCCGCCCCGTTCGAATTCATCGACGTCATCAAATCCGGATCTTCCCTCGGATCTCAGTAAGGACCGGAAGTGAAGTGCAGTGGACGAGTGTACGCGACTGTTTGAATAAACCCAAGAAACACGAGCCACGTGTACGCAGCAGCCTTCGACACTGAGTTTTATTATGATAATAGAGTGTTGCATTGTGGGGATGGTCTTGTTAATTCCAACTACTGAATTCCACGGTTCGAGTCGTATTGTCGATTTCGCTTTAACGGTCAGTTCACAACGCTGACTCCTAGTCGTCCTTTAGTTGGTACCTTAGGTTAAGGGCTGAGCAGTGATTGAAAAATGTTTTTTTTTTTTCTTTCAGAAAATCCAAAAATTGAAGGTTACGTAACACGTGTGAATTTTTTTTTTATCGTCTTCCTACATTCTTCTTTTTTATACCGTCGTAAGTTCAATTCGAATTCATCGCGAGAGTTTAGTGCCAAGTCGTGATAAAATGGCGACAATCATCCGTAAGAAAAAATCCCGTTCCTATTACCGCCTAAGAGAATTTCCTCTAATAGCCAAACTGTCACTCTACGTCTGGAGCGTCGTTTGAAGAAACGGCGCATTGAGAATGTTTACAGGGTACGGCTATCCTATTACGTGTATCTAAAGTGAAGTGAAGTACAATTACGGAACCTGTTGGAATTCAGGATGTTGACCTTTTTTTTTCATGGGGTTTGGAGGATATTTTTACTTAGTCATTATGGGGACGATACGATTTGACTGTGGATCTTATCGTGGTAGAAGGACAGCAATTTAGATATATTGAGTATCTTGTAACGATTGATGCTTCTTTGAAAATTAAACGTATTCTTTTTTGTATACCATTTTACTCGCCGACGCAACGGCGCCTGTAACTAAGGACAGGAGATTTTTCGCACAATTTTCAATCTTCTTCGCTGTCGTCAAAAGAGTCATGGAAGATTCATGAATAATCAAAATTATTCAAAATTCTGGACGAATTTTTTATTTGGATTTTCGAAAAATGTGACTGCATATAATTAGTATGTTACTACGTATCTACTGCTTTACGTATATCGTTCGGTGACTGTCGATTGTCCCAGCTGATTTCGAAGGGGAGGTATTTTGAAAGGCGAATAAAAAAAAAGGGAATTAAATCCATCTGTAAATATGGACCGAGTGTCCCACAAAACGAGCAATAAATGCTGGCTACTCGTTATAACTCATAAGAATATTATATTAATAACAATGATGTTAACGATGAATATGTACAGTACCTTAACAGACATGTTATTATATTTTATATATGTATACATATAACTTTTTTATTACTCGACTCAACTGAAGTATTGCGCCAAGGATGTTTGTAACATGTTGTAAATGAATGAAAATGAAAATATATAACGGCACGTATCACTGTTAAATTTCGCTTGTTAGTGTGACGGTGATGTGATCACTAGGAAAAAAAAAGGAAGAAAAAATTTATATAATTATTTTTCACGCTAAGATGGACGCTCGGGATTGAGGGGAATTTATCGTTTGTATTGTCTTTCGAAGAATTTTCTATGTCAGTTCATCTAGTATCTTCCATTTTCTATAGGTATTTTTGTACCGACTGCCGATAGTCCTTGGAGCGAGACACGACTTCATCGACGGTGCTGCGTTAAATCGCTTCAGTTCTGCGAAGGATAGAACTTTGTACCAACAGTTGATTGAATTAATGAAAATTATCGAAACTTTACATTTTTAATGTAATCGTACATTAAATAATCTTATGAAAATTGTCTTTCTTTAATTCCTTTCTGAATTTAATTCTTATTGTGGATAAAAACACAAGTGGGTATTACCTGTCGTGCGATATTATTTATGTTACAGATTTTATTGATTGGTTTCATGAATTATTAATAATGTTCAGACTGCGGAACAATAGTTAGGTTAGGTTTATAGATATGTAAAGCTCATATAACTATAAGGTAATAATGACTCATTTACAATTACAGATCGTACCGTCATAGTATATTGCGCACTGGGTAAGGAATGGGATGAAATTTTAACTTGATTTGTTATTTGCATCGATGCAATTATTTCGCGATCAAAGAATGTCTCGATGAATTACAAGGATTATTGGGTTACAAATGGAAATATCTTTTGATACGGGTCTATGAATTATGTACGATAGAAGGTATGCCCATTCTGGTGCTAGTTTACGAGCGAGGATGCACGAATTTTAAGAACTTACACGAGAATACTGCAGCCAATAGTTACGTGCACAGAAGGAAAAATCTATTATTCGTAATTGTTTGAACAATTCTAATTCGCATACAGATTCATGAAACGATTGAGGATATTACGAATTAAAACTTGTTAGTGGTGCGTGAAATGTTTTTCTACTGCTGAGTCGTAATTAACAATAAAGAATTACCTGTGGTATAAATAATGTATATCGGCCATGTTGTTTAAACCTCTCAGACATTAGGCCCGCCCTTTTCATTTCTTTTTTTTTCTTCACAGCATGAGGCAAGTATTGCTCCGCCTACGTATAGCTCACTGCACCAAGGGGAGATCACGGTGCCACCTAGTTAATGCACTAGCCATACTTTTCTTCCCTGTAATTGTAGCCAAGTACTGGAATTCTACGTCCCGCCAGAATTCATGAGATGAGTTTATTTCATCATCGCGCGCCATCTGTTTTAAGAAGGGCGTCACTACGGAACCGAGTCTATTATTGGAGAGACGAAAAACTTTTGATAAAATAATAAAGTCTTCACGGAACATAAGCAAATGCGAAATCTATGAATTATTAAAAACTGACTGCCAATTTGATTAAACAATATCAATAATTCCATACCGTACGTCGGTTCGTTAGGAATTATCTTTTCCAGCATTTCATTGTTGACTTCTATGGATTTTTTTCCCTAAAGTTTAGCAATAACCACCGTCACGATAATGTGGATACAATTATTTTCTTAATTTATATCAATTTTTGGATGTGCCATTCGGTGATGTATTAATTTAATATTAATTTATATTAATTTAACTTTTCGTTTGCGTCAGTTGCGTTGGCAAATAAAATATATCTTCGTTAAAGTATTTTTATCTTCGTTCCGGCATATTAGACGAAAATAGATCACTATGGAACTTTACATGATTGATAATCATTCCAACTGTTATCTTACGCGAAACTCAATATACCTTAAGAGTAAACCAGAGGCCGCTATTATCGCATGCAATAGAAATTCATGTCGTTTTCAATCTTTATGGCGAGTTAGTCGTGTTTGAAGTTTCCAGAAAGTGCCTGATCAACGAGTTCATCTCGTTGGTTACAGTTCTAACCAGGGTTACGACAGTCAGTCTATTCGAGGAACTGAGTGGTTTGACACTGCCGCTGTAAAAAGTAATAATATTGTACTTAGATAGATCAATTCTACACGAATTAACACCAAATTTCTTTAAACTTAACCACAGTTCTACGATTTGTAAAACGAAAGGCTGAAAACTTGTATACTTTCTTACATCAATTTCGGAGATCCATTCACGCGTAAGTTCAATGATTATTCAAAAATATTGAAAATACAAAGTATTGTATCAATCTCATAAATTCTTTTCATCAGGTTATGTCATTTCGCAATATAGTTTTGTAATGGTTCTTCGTTGGCAGTGACTGATTCCACCATATTCTAGGTTATATTTCGTGATTCATGCTTTACAAACTGAAAACTATTTTGTAAATTTAAAAGATCATTACTGGAAGTCACGTATATGTGTTTTTATTAATTATATGTCTTTTAGATATTCTCAAGCCTTCAATTTGGCCTTTTGTTGGTGAATATGGCGAAGTGGGGCGAAGGAGACCCTCGTTGGATCGTAGAAGAAAGACCTGATGCTACGAACGTCAATAACTGGCACTGGTGCGTTCATCAAATATATATTGTTATATATGTTATTAACTTACCTTTTAAACAGTTAAATCACTTTTTGAGATTTTTCGTTTTATTTCCTTCGTATTTCTTAAACGCCCACACTGGCATTATCGTCCGCTAGAAAGAACTGTCGTTTACGCATGTTATGAATTTATTTCGAGTCGTTTCAAAATTAAGTTATGCCAGTGTTCGTCATTAATATTAGAAGAATATTAAAACTGCATCTACTAGTTGGCATACACTTGACTTTGTAAATATGCAGATGCTCAATATTGTTCTGGTTCAAATGTGTCTACCGTTGTGTATACATAATTCTAAGTATACGAACGGGGTTACGCAATTCATATTTACGATATATACTGGGTGTGCTCCGAAATTTACTGACAGTACTGTAAAAGTAATTACATCTCTCTTAGATGCGTATAGTTGGATAAAGACATAGCATTGGTTACAGTACTGTCAGTACATTTCGGAACACACCCACTGTATCCGTTACATCGCTAGAATTGAATTCAATTTTCATCTGATTCTGTAGGACTGAGAAAAACGCCTGTGCTTGGTCTCAAGAGAAGATAAAGGAACTCTTTTTAAATTTAGTCATTGAAGGAGACGGTGGTAAGTTATTCCTATTAAAATGAAAACAAAAATATTAAGAAGCGTGTGTATAGTAGCGATTAAAAAATTGCAATTTATTTTTAGTTAAATGCACTGTGACGGAGGTAGAAAAATGCGAGGGTGAAGCCGTAGCAAATAATAGGAAAGGAAAATTAATTTTCTTCTATGAATGGAATATTGTTCTCAAGTGGGTCGCTGATACGAATTCTGATGAGAAGATTGAGGGAAAAATTAACATTCCGAATCTCTCGGAGGAAAATGATGTATCTGAAGTAGATGTGAGTTTTAATCAACTGTGCAGAAATTATCTTCATATACATATATATAATCATTGTAATAATTATATAACGCTTTGTTCATAGATCGTAGTCACTCTTAAGGATAGTACCGACGAGGGTGAAAAAATAAAGCATTTTCTTCATACTAAAGGAAAGGATACCATCAGGACGAAATTAAAGCAATACGTATCGTCTTTAAAAGAAGGTACGTCTAGAAATCCAAGTATTCATTATGTAAGATGGAAGTTTTGGAATTATGGAATAAGATATTATATAACAAACTTTATTATGTTTACAGAATTTTCAAAAGGCATGATTCTTCCAAAAAAGGACAGTGTTAAGGATAACATAAAAAATATCACGTCAGGTTTTAACGTCAAGGTAAACAATTACACTTTGATAGTCCATTGCACTATCCAGGTTTCCTGAATATCTTGTACATCTATAAAGATTATATTATCACACTCCGACGTGGTTATACTACAATTTCGTTCCGAATTTGCAGATGCAAATGAATTCAGTAGTCACAACGAATAACAAGAGTCCCGGATGTAAAATTTCAACGACGACGATTAAGCAGCAACAGAAGTTCCAATGCAGAGCAGAAGAATTTTATAATGTCTTCACTTCTGTAGAGGTATGTAGTCCTTGTTAACCTTATTGATCTGTATTATATTTCTAAACGATATGAAGATATTGGTTCTTACCTAATCATATAAAGTATGCTAATTAATTAAGAGTTTACCTAGCGTTAGACCTATCTGCATAGATAATTTTCAATTATTACGGCTTTAATCGATGCCGATTACGTCTACTGCAATGCCATTAAGTCACCTTTAACCTCATTGAATCCATTTCGCGCAGATGGTACAAGCATTTACGAAAGGACTGGCCAAAGTCGATGCGAAGAAAAGTGGAAAGTTTGAATTGTTCGGCGGTAATATACAAGGGGACTTTGTGGAGCTCTCACCAACTAAAATAATTCAAAACTGGCGATGCAACCAATGGCCGTCAGGTCATTATAGTGAAGTGATCTTAGACATCAACGAAAAGAATGATCATACGGAGGTTAACCTGACGCAGACAGGTGTACCTGTGAGGTAACAATTTAATGGATAAAAATATATTTTTAATTTCCAATACCGTAAAGGGTAAATCAAATTGTCTTTCTAACAATTAACAAATTCATTTTACAGCGAAGAGGACTCTACGAAAGAGAACTGGGAGAGGTACTACTGGGACCCAATAAAGAGAACCTTCGGTTTTGGATACTTTATGTGATCTCTATATGTTCTATGGAATATTTATTTATTGATAAGTAGAACAATCGCGATATGCGTTCACGCATGTACACGCTAGAGGAACACAGGGAATGATCGCGAGATGATTTTTTGTCCCTATAGTAAGTTTACCCTTATCTCACCGCCTATTTCTTACCGCATCCCGCATAATATCAACAGCGTGAACACGACAAATGATTTTTACACGCATCGAATGTACATCCTGATCAGTATGTTATACAATAAAATCAAGTAAAAGAAGACTAATCATTCCGTAATCGCATTAGCAGTCTCTCTTAAGCACCTCATTTAAAATTATCAATAAGTCTAATCAATAGTGTAATATTAACAGTATCCCTCGTCTGTAAAATTCACTGTATTCATCAAAGACAAGTATATCTCGATTACAACAATGTCAAGAGTTAAAATGCAATAGGGTCTTGAAGCGTCGTTTATTTACCGACTGTGATGATATCTGTTAAGGGTAGCTCTAAGTGGGTGGTGTCGTGGTACTCGGAGGGTACAGGAGGTCGAGGATGAAACGAGAGGAGAAAAAGGAAGGCGAATGAGAACGAAAAAGGCCAATGTCCTCGGGCGTAGTATGAATGGGCAGAGCCGGGCCGCGAGTGCGCGCGCCTTCGAAAATCAAAATCAATGTAGTCCGCTCGCTCGGCTCCCTTGGTTCGCTCGGATTGCCCACGCCCAGCATCCATAGTCCATACTCCTCGTCTCGTTCGAGCCGCGCGAATTAACCCACCACCTCCCCAGCCCTGTCTTGTTTTTCTCTCTCTCCCCTAGTTCGCGAGTATGTGACGAATAAGCCGTGAAGAACACGGTCTGCTCTCTCCTCCTCATCTCGACAACTCTACCTCGGGATCATCTTCAGGAACGAGAATCCCAGTCTCGTCTACCTTGGATCCCAATCTTCCTCGTTTTCCTCCACTTTTTCCCAGCTTATCCAGCACCGACGTTCACGCCGCCGCCGCCGCTGCCGCCACCGCCTATACCGTTGAAGCCTGCTCCATCGGCACTACCTCGACCTCCTCCTCCTGCTCCTCAACCTCCTCCTCCTCACACTCCTACACTGTTCCATTACCTCCCATTCGTCCACTCCGCGTTAATGTGCACGTTGCACGTATTACTTTTACGCGCGTCACGCCGCTGATAGCCACAGCCTTACTGCCGAACAGCAGTAGGCATGTGAGAGTGTCGCTGGACAAGTTCCTGGATTCAGTTTAAATTGTGAAACTGATCTGGGGCCTCGTGAGTGATCCTACTGAGATACGTCGTCCTTGATTCACCTACCCTGTGCGTGTGCCAATAAATCCTCTGTAGGATGAGACCGTACTACGAGCTTCCAAGGATCCGTTCTGCACGAGGATACACTGCTTCAGGGAAAATCTGCCTCAGAACGTTAACCTCCGTTGTGCGTACTATCGTTACCTTGTAATATTATTACTCTAACCTCATTTTTGTACCTTATTATCATCGACCTAGTTTACCTGCTTTCTTGCTTTTAACGTCGATCTCTACATTCTCATTTTTTGGAAGGGTCTACTTCCTCTTGGTACGGGAGTCGCCCCTTGCGTGTCGCTTGACTATCCACCTGCCTGCCTGATTACTCGCTTCCTTCAACTTTTTCAAAGGATTCATCCTTTAGTGAAATTCAACCCTATCGTCGCCTAATGCGTTATCCATTACGCGTTACACTAATTTGACTTTCTTTTTTTTTGCTTACAACCTTTACGCTTACCTATCATCTACTACGCCCGTCCTGGGGTCGCTTTCTGAATCTCGCTCCGTGTACTCCCACGCTGTATCGTTACACACCATTTATTGTATTCTGTACGTTTTTACTTGGCTTTACACGAAATGCGTATTTATCTCTTTAAAGAAATTTCAAATCTTCTTATTTTCTGCCGCGACGACATCCTGCATAATATTCGATTACGTGTTCCGTGTGTTTTCCCAATGTGTATTAGGTTTCAGTTTCAAGTGGATAGTGATTAATCGATTCTTCATTTTTTTATAGTTTGATATTCTATTACGCTCCTTTATGTATCTAGCACGCTGTAGACCATCCTTATCATACACATTCCTTTAGCCCATCCTTAAATCATTAATAGATTGCGAAAATTATAAAATATCATTTCATTTATACAATGTGAAATTATTTGACACATTGCCTCAAAGGTGTATACTACATCGATTTTTTATATCTACCATTAATTCATTGTTACATTTCAAGTACACAGTATTTTTTCAAAACATCTGTTCGAGCTAAAAACTAATTAGTTAACCTCAAACTGTCATTGTCATAATTTTCTCGAGTTAAAATTATGAGCAGGATACGATTTGCATGAAATATATCTAAACCACAGTTTATAATTATATATTTACATTTTCTTTTATACTGGCATACCTCTCCTCACAATGCTTTAAGTAATAACATAAAACTCTTCTTGTACCCCTATGTATACGAGGCACGTGCAGCATAGAATTTTTATTCGCCCAACAAGCAACGTATCGGAAAATTATTTTTAGTTTAAAAGTAAGGAGCAGATGACGTCATAGGAGGTAAACAATAAAGTTATAAAAGTGGTACAATGTTCAGTGTGCATCCATAATGCATCGCCTTTTTATATATTATATAACAAAGCACCAACTGTCAGCCTCTCTAACTAGAACACAGTCCAACGGGACAAATAAATTCTCCACGTTAGCGTTGGAATAAACTTTGACAAAATTTTCATCGCCAATGTATTTTCCCAGGAAATGTGTACCATGAGAAAATATTAATTTATAACCTTATGCATGTAAATAGTTAATTCGTACGTCGAAACCTCCCAGCAATAATAAATGTTTCATTAGTCAAATGCAATTTTCCATATTTCAATCTGGAGCATTGATATTAATTGTGTTACATTAATGATATTATAATTACAGAAATCGAGCATGCCATGCGCACTTGAGGGATGGATACTCGTGTTGCCCACACGGTGCAACATGCATAGCCGTACACTCGTCGCATCTCATCCGCTTCTCCAGGAAGATCAAATCTTATCATGTTCGATAAAGGATTTGAGACATTACTGAGTACGAGTCTCTTAGTATGAGCATGAGTACATTACTTAGTCTATGAATTAAATGTTAAACCGGTTGTCAGAAATTGCAATTCTGTTTCGAGGTTGCTTATTGAGAACGTTGCAGACCTTATAACGTTACATATAGATACATGTGATCTCCCATTTGGTCAGTGATTCGCCATCATTTTGAGATAACACAACTAATACTTGACAATATTCGATAGTCGGTTCGCGCGACACAGGCGAATTAAATATAGAAATTTCGTATTATCTGCAGTCCGTGACGAACTTGGATATTTCTACTTTTACGCATTGCACATCTCTTCGCGACTAATACGTTATTTGCTCTTCGTTGTTGTTCGGTAACATTATAATTAGTTCATCGTTTCGTCTTTGTTAATTGTGATTTTCGTAGTTTTCCAAGCACATAAACAGTATCTTAGGAACCACAGAATTAATTCTCGTTGGAGTGATCATTCGCACCTGCCATGCTGGAGCCGTGACTCCATGATACTTGTACCTACGGAGTATCGTCACAAGTGGATCTGAATACGGATTTTGGAATTTTGTTTTTTGTCCCGCCCGATTTCTTTAGAATTGTACGCTTTTGTTTGCATCGTTCGCTAATGTATCGGCACGTCATGATCTTGTCCTCTTCCTTGATGAGAGTAGACCTGGTCGCGCAGACTCTCTATCCATGCACTGATCTGGTCCGTTTTCGTTGGAGATGAGCAAACGGCTGAGGGCATCTACATGTGTCATTTGCACTCTTGGTTGATAACTTTAAGTAGATTCTCAGAAACAGAATACCAATTCGATACTGCTCGACAGACTGAACCAAACACTGGGACCTGAAAAAAAAGAGAAAATATTGGTATAACTTCCATAATGTTAATTATTGATGAAAAAATTGGTTTGTTCCAGATTCGATGCTTTTCTCGACAAGAGCAAACCTCGTGGGATGTAGTTGACGTTGCTTCTCCTTCGAGAGAGCGTGAGCGAGAGGGAGTGCGAGGGAGGGCTAGGGAGAGGGAGTGCATGTGTGCGTGAAAGGGGGGGAGAGAGAGAGAGAGAGGGAGAGCGAGGTAGGAAGGGGGCGAAGGAGAGGGAGTGAGTGCAAATAATAAGGGTAGAAAATCGAGGAGTAACAGAGAGAGAGAGAGAGAGAGAGAGAGAGAGAGAGAGAGAGAGAAAAGCAAGGACTGGAGGATAGCATGCACAGGGAATCGTTCTAACAGAGCAGAGAGTCTGACAGACATGAACGTAACTCCGATGAATCTAACCCTGGACAATGACAGCTTCTTCAGTGGCAACGAGTCCGACAGTACGATAGCCGTCCATCGTTACTCTGTCGTAGAAATAGTGATTATCACTATTGTCGCCTCGTGTCTAAGTCTCATAACCGTAATTGGCAATAGCATGGTTATGATTTCTTTTAAAATCGATAAGCAACTTCAGACGATCTCAAATTACTTCCTCTTCAGTCTTGCCGTAGCCGATTTTGCTATCGGTCTATTCTCAATGCCCTTGTTCACTATTTCTACCGTCCTGGGCTACTGGCCCTTGGGTCCTCTCGTATGCGACACGTGGCTGGCCCTTGACTACCTCGCGAGCAATGCCTCCGTCTTGAATCTTCTTATCATCAGCTTCGATCGGTACTTCTCGGTCACGAGGCCCCTCACTTATAGAGCAAGAAGGACTACGGTTAAGGCAGCGATTATGATCGGTGAGTCCACTGAAATTTTTGAAAAATATATGTAACATGTAAGTAGCCATTTTACTCAAAATTGATACGCTGCTGTACACCTACTTTTGAAATCATTATACTCTCGTGTCTATGGCCATCGAGCCACTAGTACCGTCAAGGTAAGTAACTGCCACGACAAAGGGAAAGAGTTTTCACAGAGAGTGGATAAACTGTAGCTAGATGGCAACCGGCCATTAGACGAGCTTTGACGGCGTACAGACGCTCACAAGAGTCACCTATGAAATTTCTATTTCACTGACGTAATTTAGGAACGCTTTTCAGAGAGGCGACAGCAATCCACCAATTCACCACTGATATTCCAGCTGGGAAGTGTCTATTTTATTTTCCAATAAATTGAATTATTTAACCAGGCGATGAATTTGCTCCCAGCAATTTGCTAGGTTATGTATACATCATTGGCCTATGTAACAGGAACTCCCTGGAATATAAACTTTCATATAGGATATACTGTATCTAGACTGTCTCTATATAATTGCGAATATACGTTGCACAAAGCTCATATTATGGTTATACCTTGTCCCTTTCTTGCAGCCAGCGCCTGGGGTATTTCAGCAGTACTCTGGCCACCCTGGATTTACGCCTGGCCGTACATCGAAGGGAAGAGGACTGTGCCAGACGACGCGTGCTACATTCAGTTCATCGAAACTAATCATTATATCACATTCGGTACTGCCATCGCTGCTTTTTACGTACCAGTCACAGTTATGATTATCCTCTACTGGCGGATATGGCGCGAAACCGAGAAGAGACAGAAGGACCTGCCAAATCTTCAGGCTGGCAAACAAGACGCAAGCAAGCGAAGCAATTCAAGGTGCTTACTCCACACTTATTACCAATTTAATTAAAAAAAAAAGGGAAAACGACGCTTCGCATCCTCGTGAATCCTACATAATCAATGCTCATCAATATGACAGCCATTCACAGGATCTTTAATACTTGTTCCATGTTACACGCTGTTGCTTCTTTAATATACAAACGTCCTACTGTGTCTCATTGATCCTTATATATTTTTATTCGACGCAGCGACGAAGCCTTGGACATGGACGACTGCAAAAGACCACGAAGTGAGTCGAGCACGGGCGCCGACGAGATTAATTCCTCGCACATCGCAGCGTCCTACATGGACAACCATTATCCGCAATACAAGTCTGTAAGTAGCAAAGTAGCGCGCTTCTCATTCTTGCTTGAGCTTGCCTCGCTCCTGCGCTTCTTTCTTTTCCTTCCTCGAGGAGGTAATCATCAATGCAGTCGGACCTCGGGCACTGACAGATTTCCCTCACTGAACGTTTGAAAATCTTTGAAACTGACAGTTTTTAACCGCGACGGCAGCGCCGTCGGTAACCTGTGTATGTTTTATGTAACTCGTTAGTACGACCAAGTACACTAGTCACCCTGACTATGTCCATGGCGCTGATACGCGATTGTATGACAGTAAAGTTTAATAAAACTGTCAGTGCTGAAACTTCGTGTATTGAGATCTGTCAGTGTCCGAGGTCCGAGTGAATAAGTATGAACGCGCGACGCTTTATTATCAGTGCCATTGACATGCACGAATTTACGTGGGAAAGAATAGACGTAACCAACGAAATAGTACAAATCAACTAGTCGTCGCACGGATAATGAATAGCTCCTCGTTCATGGAATTCTCTTCGTCACAGAACTCATGTTGGTATGCATATGTGTAATTACTTTTGGAGTCACCTGTAGTAGGTATACACGTATGTGCATAATCGTCAGTATTATTGTCAGTGTCGTAATTGTTCCTTTAATGCGTAACGTCCCATCACGAGAACGGAGCCTGCCTGGAGTATGAATTTTCCAAAAGAATATCCAAAAGAAATTTTCTTACGTTTTTCTCCATCCTTCATTTTATGTCTCAATGCATACCATGTATTACATTGAAATTATTTTTCTATTGGAATTTCTTTAAACAGTCACCAATCCATGTCTACCTGACTGTTTTCAATCTCAAGTGTAAGATTTTAAAAAAACGTCACATTGCATTCCGTAGGTACGCGGGGGTGGACGGCTCGCGATAAATAGGTTATATACCAGAGCAGGTACTGTCTAGTATCCAATTCAATTTGCATTGCATTGATCACAAAAGCTTGGCAAAGCGTTCACTGGTAGATAAATTGGTACGAGTTTTCACGTTAGGTAAACGGTTTTATAGCGAATTCGTCGTTAGTCGAGGACGCCGTCGTTGACTTAGCATATCCGACGGATCGGGTGTTAATTACACGTTTGCACGATGGCCAGCGGCGACCAAGTGCAGGCGTCTAATTAATGTCGTCGGGACGTCTTGAAGGTGCAGTAATTACACATCGTTATACCACATGTATAATGCGAACGTAGCTGTGAAATTAAAAAGATATTCTTCCGTTTAATTTCCTACCGCATAAAAAATCAGGCTAAACGTTACGGGTTATTAAAAAATATATATACAATGATTATGAAATTGAAAGATATTCTATCCCAATTATGAAATTCCCTTAAAATCGCTCAATTCAGAACTTTAGCACAGTCGGTCTCTATCTGCGATGCTTGTCCGATTCTCAGCCTTCTTCACTCTTATCAATAGAATTTAGTTTATTCGCCTTTCAGTCCACTTTCTTATAAAAGATATATTGTTTACCTCGTTACACTATTGTTATACTTTATAATTCTTACAGTAACGCTTACATTGGATTTCGTTCACGTTAGCGTATAAGTCGGATATTCATTTAGCGACACGTCGAGCGGCTTCCTATATCGGGTCTCTATAGTTTTCTCTATCTATTATCTTTAAATCTCCGCCACCCCCTCTCTCTTTGTCTAATTCAATTTGTAAGTTAATTTCACACTGTCTTTCTCTCTCTCTTACACTTTTTCTGTCTTTGACTGCATCTCTCTCTCTCTCTCTCTCTCTCTCTCTCTCTCATTCTTTTTATTGACTCTTACCTCTTTACTGATATCGCTCAGTTTACCATTGAATTTAATTTACCCGCCGTATGTATAAATTACGTTATATCATTAGTGGCTTACGAGAAATAAATACTGGACTATAACGCTATCACTATAAAAATACCTATAAATACAGGAAAGGATGAATTGTCTCCGTTCAATAACATAAAAATGTCAATCTAACTTGTTGAATCGAGTAATAAAGTATATCTCTTATTTAAAATCATCAGCGATATCGTCGTAAGGAGTGATTCTTTAATGTTAGAACACCGTGTACCCCCCATCCTCCTGTTAATCCTAGATATTGCCACGCAACGTGCTCACCCACGCATTTGACAAAATGGCAGGTGCGAGTGGAATATAAGCGTTTCGATTGGACCAATCCAGTGGCCGCACTCGACAGACTGGTAACAGGGCACTCCCCCGTTATCCACCTGTGCACTAGACTATCCTACGGATAAGAATATTCCGTGTCAAGTAGAAACGAACCTGATGGCTAAGCGTATCTTCTCATTGGTCGACGCTCCGGACCCAACGGTTTTAAATTCTTATTTGAACGCGTCGCCGTATATCGTGTCTCGTGAAGTTGGCGCCGCCATTTTTCAACTTCCACAAAAATCGATAACACTCATTTGACTTTAACCCACGGATCGTTGCACTGAAAAATGCTGTTTCGATAACGTGTCTTTATTTTGAAAAAAAATATATATTTACCGATCACACACGGTGCTGCCATCTTTCGAAACTCTTATATACTTCCGAGCGGGAAATGGTCGAAGCTCGTTTATCCTTAAATACCCAGAAACTAACATTTCTACCTGCATAACCGTCTAGTATAATTTCATGAAAATTCATATAATAAAAAAGGTAAATTTTTCTTTTCTATTAATATCGAATTATATATATATATATATAGTATCCCTCATCCCGTGCATATTATATCCAAATTTTCATATTATTCTCTATACGTACGTTAGTGTTTTTACGCGACTCTCGGCTCGGTTGGCTATAATGACGAGTCTAAAGATAAAAATTGATAAAAAATACGTAAGAACATGTCCGTACCAAAGTCAACTTGGTACAGTGATTAGCACAGCGCATGTAAAATCCTGATTTACTGTATTAATCGTTGATTGGACCTTTGTAACCAGGTACGGTATACCGATATATCTATACTTATATAGAATATAGATATAATACCCATAAACGTATACCGACCAGGTTCCAACGTTCTCTCCAGTTTCGCTCCGAGTAAAATCTAGATAAGAGACACGTGATTTTTGATGTTATAATATATATGCGTGTTGGATGTTTTGAAAGTTTCTTTGCGTTGCTGAAGTTTATCGCTTGTAAATCGTTTTCAGTGGTTTATGACGACGGTGTGACGTAATGCCGATTGAACACGTGACTATGTGTCTATATATATATATAATATCCGTAGTATAACGGCCCATGACTCGTGAACGATTTTAATAATTATTTTTTCATCAAATAATATTTATCGGTATCGATCGATCCATAAGCGTGATCAATGCACTAACAGCATATTGTAAATTTTCTCAAGTCTCACTGTCGACTGGCAGATGAACACGCGGACGACCGATCGGCACGCGGCACTCGTTGCAATTCTGTTGTTGCTCTTGTCGCACGTGGTGATGGAATCGTTGCTGAAACGGACCGACGTTGGGTCGTTGGCTGTTTTTTCTGTCCGGCTGGAAAACTCGGAAATGCACCGAGGATGCAGCCCAATGCATTTTGATGCATCTTGGTTGATCGAGAATCGATCGAGCTCGTTATCTAGCGCTTACCGGGCTTTTGTTGATCGGATTGGCCCACTCTGTCGTTCTAATACCATGGATCAATATGGCGATCGGTAAGTATATTACGTGTCTTGTTTTTTCTTTTCACGACTATTATACATATAATAGTCTACAAAGAAATGATGCGTCTAATAAATACCCATACGTGTGTCTATGTATATGCTATTTATATATCAACACAGTCGAATCCTCTGCAGAGAAAATGTACACATACATGCAGGAAGCGATTTTCTTTACTTGTTGTCATTTGTTATTGAGAATGTAAGTGTTTAGGTGTAATTATGAAAAATTCGGATCGTTTCTTTAAGATTTAGATGTTTTATAGACATTTTTTTTTTTTTCATTGTTCGTGTGTTCGCAGTATATCATTGAAAGTGCACGCAATTTGAAAAAAAAAAAAAAAAAAAAA